GCCGCCAGCCAGTCTTGTGTGCTCTTCGCTCTATGAGCTGGCGCCGAATCTTGTTGGAATACCCAGTGCCTGTTATTGAACATGGTATGAGAAACAGGTTCCACAAGGTTCGTCAGGACTGTATTTTGATACACAACTGCATTCGTTTTTACACCTTTCTCACAAAAATGTACCTCTGTTAAGCCCCAATAAGAAACTCCCAACCATACCATGAGCGAGGATGGAAAATGACCTCGTTGGACACGCGGAATACGGTTGCTCGCTTCTTCACTACTGTGTGCGTACACCTTATCATTTTGTTTGTTGTAGCTCTCTTCTACGGTAAAAAATTTTTCATCCGAAAAAAGAATTTCCCGATATTTTTTTCCCGCGTACCGCTTCAACAAAGCGCGGCATCTTTTCAGTCTCAGGTCCATTAGGCGAGCATTCAAACGATGTTCTGTTTTTCTTCGATATGCCCGAAGCCCTAAGTCTTCATTTAACACCCTTTTCACCGTGGTTCTGCTTAACCCCATCTGAAGGGCCAATAGTTTATGCTTACGTTTGGGATTTCTTTGAATTCGCGCCTTCACAGCTTTTATCACTGCTGGAGTCCTAACAGACCGAGGGCGACCACTTCTTGACCTGTCATCTACACTAGACATCTAGAGTCTTCATTGTATCGTTTGATGGTACGATAAACGAATCTTTTGGTTATATTCAAATTTTTCAGTATGGTAAAAATTTGAATTGGCGCGTAATCGCAACGATGCAACGCAATAACTGCAAACGGTCTTCTTTAAGCGTCCACTCCATATTTAAAAATGAGTAAAATTCTAAAAGTATACATTTTTATTTTCATGAACAATTCGAAATTCGAATTCAATAAACTTTTTTGTGGCCAGCATTCTAAAAGAAAAGTTTTTACTGTGTGACAATACTTATGACCTGACTAGTTATATATTAAAATAAACTAAAAGCCATCGTCAGGCTTACTACACGTGGTAGGGCATCGTTTCTATTTCTGCCGGGAATCAGTCGCTGTATTACACAATTGTAACATACCCTCTCGAGATGGCAATCACATTATGTTAACTGTCACTTAGCACCGGGCGGGCCGAGAGCTAGTGGAACCTTATAAGAGACTAGCAGTGCCCGTCCGCTTCGCTGGGCATTTAAAATTAACATTATTATTTCTGACCCCCACAAAAATTTTCATCATTAACGCCCCCGCAACTGATGTAGCGAGTCCAACACTGATATAAATATTAGCCTATCCATTAAGTACATGTATTTTCTATATGGATACCAAGTTTCAAGTCAATCGGATGCATAGTTCACTAGTTATAACGGAACATTCGTAAAAGCCACTGTAGATTTATATATTAGTATAGATAACTAAAATCCAACACGCGGTGCAAGGAATCCTGACGTGTGAACACAAAAATTATCGATAAATTAAAACAAACTAAGAAACGTAACGCAATTTAAAATCGGCTGATGCGCGGGGTCAATGACTGCGTGACCTCCACTGATCCCGTCTCTATACATTGCGGGCTCGCGACATTCTAACTACAGGAGTGTCCGTGAGGAGTTTGACTAATTTTGTTTTTAAATGTTCGAAAACGTTTCCCCTTTACTGTAATTTGTCTTATTTAATCATATTTCAGTGCTGGTTCACGCACTCCCTCAGGAAGTATCCGTCCCACGACTGGGCGATCGAGCAGCGCTGGCTGTCAGTGATGCTGCCGATGCTGCTCCTCTACAACGGTACGTGGGTGCGCCTCGGCCCCAACACATCATCAGTCTATAGCAATCCAGTGCTGACCATAGACCTCTCCAATTGCATGTTACCGGGCATGATCCTCGGCTACTCTCCTTTAGCTCTCGCCAGCCAACCTGCATAGATCCCTTATCCATACTCAGTGTGGTTCCAACGCCCTACCCTTTAAACCGAGTGCACATTAGAAGACGTATTATGCTCGTAGAAAATCCTTCTAATGTACAGCAGCCTTTCAAACGAGCCGTGAGGAGTCTTCAGTAATAGATAACGGTTTAGCTGTGCCCGGTACGTTTCTGGTATCCATGAACGACGGTGACCATCGCGTTGGCCGTACGCTCGTCTTTTTTTTCTCTTATCTACTCTAGTAACCTCGAAGGGCTATTCTAAATTCACCGAACCAGTAGGTGAGCAAGAGCAATGCTTCGCAGAATCTACAACCGGATCGGAAACGCGACCCACTGAGAAGATCCCGTGAGAAACTCAGTGGGCTGTGTCTGTGGGTTAATTTACTTGCCGAGCCCTTTGCAAGCGACGGGTACAGCTGGACAGTGACCGATGCTTGAGGTACCTAAAAGCACCGGTAATGGCTCGGGAGGATCCGTAATGACGTGTTTAGGGCCTATCGTCTACTGACAATGGCAATACAAAGTGCACGCTAGAAACATCTCTAAGCAGGGTCAAGTTACAGAGAGTGTGGTCGGTGTGCAGATCCGCTGTTCCCGCTGCGGCTGGTGTCGGCGAGCTGCTTCGCGCCGCTGATGGACTCGGTGTTCCAGGCGACCTTCTTCGCGGGCCTCATGCTGTCCTGGCTGGCACAATACCACGGGCTGCGACAGGTGACCGTATTACCGTGTCGACAACTTTTTTTTTTATTGCTTAGATAGGTGGACGAGCTCACACCTGGTGTTAAGTGGTTACTGGTAGACACCTACAACGTAAATGCGCCACCGTGTAGGTGAGCTCACGGGGCTCAAACCGGAGTGTTGCTAACAGTGGCCCTAGCAAGAGCTTATTACTGGTGGTAGGACCTCTTGTGAGTCCGCACGGGTAGGTACCACCGCCCCGCCTATTTCTGCCGTGAAGCAGTGATGCGTTTTGGTTTGAAGAGTGGGGCAGCCGTTGTGACTATACTGAGACCTTAGAACTATATCTCAAGATGTGTGGCGCATTTACGTTGTAGATGTCTATGGGCTCCAGTAACCACTTAACACCAGGTGGGCTGTGAGCTCGTCCACACATCTAAGCAATAAAAAAAATAAAAAAAAAAAAAAAAAAAGAGCAGTGCTTCGCTGAATCACCACCGAATCGGAAACGCGACCCACTGAGATCAATATATATTAGGAGTAGTGACAAAGGGAAGTTATTCCAATGAGAGGGTGAAGTTACTCATCACGATACGGATGTAGTTGTTCGGAACTTGCTTAAGCTTATGTTGAAATTGTAGTTAGTACGATTCAAGCATCCATCTATTTATTTTTATTTATACTTATTGTACACACAAAGAAAATACAATAAAAAACAGATTTAAAGAATGTCTAAATACTATGTACAAAGGCGAGCTTAACTCATTCATGAGTTTTCTTCCAGCAAACCAATAGCAGAGTGAAATACGATGTATAAGAGGGGAATAGTGTACAATATAAAAGCTATTAAAGCATGATTTTTAAACTAAGCTTTAAAAAAAAATTCTAATATAAAATAAAAAACACATATAAATAGACATACATAAAACAATAACTTAAATACAATTAAAGTGACAGGAAATGTTTCTTCATTTGACTCTTAAAAACTTCTAGAGAGGAACTCCATCCATCATATATCTTCTGTGACTACCGTCACTAGTTCCTTATACATAGCACGATCACTCATGAACGTACTCCGCGTTACTTATGCACGAGAGTATGAGCCAGGCCGCACGTTGCCGCGCGCACTGACTGACCCGACTGGGCTCGGCTGAGGTTCACGTGCTCTTGTTCACAGAACGACCGCGGCTTCGTGTCGTTCTACCTGTTCAAGCTGGTGGTGGTGGGCTCGGTGTGGGCGCCGGCGATGGTCGTCACCGTCTGGCAGAAATATTACGCGTATTACGATCCCACCTTCAACTACATGATGTCGCCCAACTATCCGGTAATTTACTTATTTATTATAATATATTATACAAGACCTGAAAAAACCCTTCACATACCCAAGACAACAATAACCCCAACTTGATATCCCCAAAAGTTACAAAGTGTTAATATCTGCCGTTCTCGTTAACTTTCTGCGGCGATATGTGGTGTAAGTGTTTGATTAGTGATTTTTTCTTTCATTTTTATCCCTAACCCACAAAATGACAAAACTAATTACACTATCGATAACGCTTATCGACAACAAGAATGCGCATCACTATGCCTGTCCATAAAGCTCGTGAGTGGAAGAGAGAGCGAAATACTCGCTTCACCGCTCCGATTTTATATGACCCAAGCTGCACGGACAAAATAATTCTAATTCTAGTAATTGCATTACATTGCATTCCGCGTCACCAAAACAATGAAGTGCGAAGAGACCTCAACATTGGATAGACACGGGTTGAAGAAGAGAAGAGTATTAACAATTATCTGTAATGGATGATTTATTGTATTACCGATTGTCCTGCCATACGACACGCGACTGCTTCGCACTAGGAGAGGTTCGGGGTGCACAGTGCAGGGGACTAGGTGGTACTGCTAGTGTGGAAATAATTCTGTGGGTTCGTAGTGGGATTTTCGTAAATAGTTCATGAGCACCAGCTAGGTTCGTATTTACTTAGAGAATCCGGACAACACTGGTCCCAAGGGCCTATATGTAACAAAAAAAAATGGCGCGCGTGCAGCGTGCAGCGTGTTGCACGTAAAAGAAGTGAAACTTCTTTTGCAGTTTGTAGAAACTAAACTATTCATATCGTTAGCCTTGCAATATAGTAGCTTATATGAAATCCAATAGCTGTCACTAAGCTAAATTAAATATAAGATAGTTAATATGTTACTGGCGTGTACGGAGTAATAAGAAACTAATAACAAGCCATCTAGTGGCCGACGCCCGTAAACAGTGGTTCTCGAGACGCTCTGTTGATTTCTCACTCTCGCTCTTTCTAGGTGTATTTTTTCTCTCTAACCGTAACGAGTCTGTTGCGAGTTAAGTTGTACTCACAACGTGCCTAAAGAAGTTTAACTTCAAAATTGTATTGTAAGAAATAATCGTCCGTCTGTACCATCCTCGTTTTGTTTCAGATCGTAAAGACGATGTTCTTCACGGGCCTCGCCGTGTACTTCCTGTACCTACTCATACTCATAGTGAAGGCCTACAGTGATTTAAGGAACATGCCGTTTTTTGGTAACTACCCGCCTGCGCACATTACGTAACGAAAACCTACCACACGACTAAATATTCACATGTCTTAATTTATTAGACACTTTTAATGAGTTACTGGAGCCCGTAGACAACAACAACGTAAACGTCATCTTGAGACATAAGGACTAAATCTAAGTTCTATAGTCGAACGGCTACCCTACCCTTCCAATCAGACCGCAACACTGCTTCGTGGCAAAATCAGGCAGGGTGGTGGTACCTACCTGTATGGACATGCGTAATATTTAATTCAAGATTTGACTGAAAATATAACGAGAATACTTCTATACATTTCTTATATAAAGACTTTGCATCTTATATTAAAATGTTATAAAAATAACCAACTTACTACGATAAAATTAGTAAATTTAAAGAATTATTATGTATTAAAAAGAACTAAAGGGGTTTAATTTAAATTCTCATTCAAGTCTGAGCTATTTAAAATTAGCTCATTAGGGAGTCACGGTGGGCAGTGTCCTGTATGCCCACTGTACGCACGGTGCACACTATGTCTCCTGTGTCCCCTGTGTCCAGTATGCCCTCCGTACGCACTGTGCCCCCTGTGCACACTTTGTCCCTTGTGTCTGTTGTGTCCCCTATTTCCCGTGTGTCCCTGTGTCTCCGTACGCAGTGTGACTCCTGTGTCCCCTATGCCTACTTTGTTCCTGTGTCCCCCGTACACAATGTACCGCCTGTGCCTACTGTACGCACTGTACCTCCTGTGTCCCCTGTGCTGCCCGTATCCACTATGTCCCCTGTGTTCCTGTGTCCCCGTGTGCACTGTACTGCCCGCGCGCGTTGCAGACGTGCGACTGCGCTGCGTGTCTGCGGGCGCGGGCGCGGCGGCGGCGCTGGCGGGCGCGGTGTGCGCGCGGGGGTGGGGCGGCGCGGCGCTGCAGGACCACTGGGCGGCGCGGCACCCGCACGACACGTCCGCGCCCTTCATGGCGCTCTACTCGCTCTTCAACTTCGACCTCTACGCGCTCGCCTACCTGTACTCGCCGCCCACGGTCGAGCCCCACGGTAACCATCCACTACCAACACTTGCACAAGACACAACTAACATTTATATGCTGCTTAATAGTGTACATACTAATAAGATATTCAATTAATTATAAATCTAAATATAACTAGTCAGGTCATAAGTATTGTCACACAGTAAAAACTTTTCTTTTAGAATGCTGGCCACAAAAAAATTTATTGAATTCGAATTTCGAATTGTTCATGAAAATAAAAATGTATATACTTTTAGAATTTTACTCATTTTTAAATATGGAGTGGACGCTTAAAGAAGACCGTGTTGCAGTTATTGCGTTGCATCGTTGCGGTTACGCGCCAATTCAAATTTTTAACATACTGAAAAATTTGAATATAACCAAAAGATTCGTGTATCGTACCATCAAACGATACAATGAAGACTCTAGTGTAGATGACAGGTCAAGAAGTGGTNAAAAAAAAAAAAAAAAAAAAAAAACAACGCAAGATATTTGACAGATGCCTGAATCTCGCTTACGACATTTTTAAGTTAAGCTCGCATATAATATACAAGTTCCGAACAACAACATTCGGACCGTCGCGTCGGTCTGCCGAGCAATATCACCCGCTCGGTGGAAGAACTTCCCTTTGTCGTGTACCTACAAATTTATTAACATAAGAACTTTATCGTTTTAAATTCAACACACACAAAGAAATCATTTCAAATTAATCAATCCGTCGTGTGATTCCTCACATAAAAACATAGTTTAGTTTTCGTTCATTTCTATTTTTTAAAACGAAACCTTTGGCATTATAGTAAAGAACACAGTTGATATGGTTTGCTAAAAAACCAACAAACACTCATTAAATAATAATAAATTTGGGTAAATTTATAATTAAACCACAATAAGATGTTTAAGCTTCATTCCTCTAAAGGACGCGATTGTGTTAATTTCATAATAATCAATTTTCCCGCGAGCCTCTGTATAACAAATCTCGTTAAGTCAAAACATGACGTCATCGCGTCGCTCCGGGCGGCTGCACTCTGTAAACAATGAAAGCAACGTAATACGATGACGTCACAACATAACAATACAGAAATGTGGTTTAAAAATAATATTTTAGATGTACCTTCTCTAATTGTATTTTTTTTATTGCTTAGATGGGTGGACGAGCTCACAGCCCACTTGGTGTTAAGTGGTTACTGGAGCCCATAGACATCTACAACGTAAATGCACCACCCACCTTGAGATATATAATAAGTTCTAAGGTCCAGTATAGTTACAACGGCTGCCCTACCCTTCAAACCGTAACGCATTACTGCTTCACGGCATAAATAGGCAAGGTGGTGGTATCTACCTTCAAGCTATTCCAGCTAGGCGCGGACGGGTAGTTCAGCTCCCGGGCTCAATTTGCTAACACTCAACTCGAATTTGCTAACATTAGCCCTAGAAAGAGCAGCGCTTCGCTAAATCTGCCACCAGATCAGAATCGCGACCCACTGAAAGGATCCGGCAACAAACTCAGCGGGCAACATATTTGAGCATCTTATCAGTGCTTTCTACATTATTTTCACTTTAGTACAGACTTCCCACTATAATCCTTTTCTCGATTTGTATTTTCTCGCCATTCCCTCCCACCACTATAGCTGCAGTATAACCATAATAATACGTCAAATTCTCAATTATACTGCACAACGATTGCCCTGCCCTACAAATTAGAACCCATGGCACCTTTAGAATTATAGAGACCCATTTCGAAATTTTTGGATTTCGTCTTTAATTCAAGAACGACCCTTTTCAGCGACTCTTGGTAATCAAATGACCAGAAATAGCTTATAAAGGGACAAAGCTATCCATCGATCTCTTTCACTCCGTTCCCTACCTCTACGTTTTTTCGGTTTGAGAACTTAAATGGATATTTTCCAAAAAAACTCATTTTTTGAGTTGGGTCTTTATAATTCTAAAGGTGCGCAATGACCTCGCGCCAGAAATAGGCAGAACGTTTAATCCTACCCGTGCTCGCTTACACGCAATACAATTTAGGTGGAATTATTTTATTATTATTTAAAGTTTTTCTGTTATCCAAATGAAGCTAATTAGGAAACTTAGATCTTATAAAGGTTACGCTTGCAATTTGTTTTACAGAAACGTCCATAACAAAAGACAATCCCGCCTTCTCGATGATCAACGATTCGGACGAGGACGTCATCTATGGCTCGGACGAAGACAGCCGGCGGCCCCTCAACTCGCACCATCGAGTCAGCACAGAAGACATATGATTCCACCCGCGGACATTATAAACTATTTTCATTGTATCACGTAACCGATCTTGTTATGTATAAAATATTAAATTATTTTTTATTTAATTTGGTTTTAAAAGAACTTTTTTTTTTGTGATGACTTAACTACGTGAATTACATTATATAAAGGTGTTGTAATTCGAATACAGCATTTCTATGAAACTAATGACTAAGGGCCTTATCATACTAATGGTTTGGGAGCGGCTGCGTGACGGATACGCAACGTTTTCGTCGCGTTTTTGTAGCGAGTTAACGACGTACAATACACTCAGTAACAAAATGGATTCCAACGAGTCTGTTGGTTTTGTTACTACGAAGTACCTACTACTGACTTAAGTCATGAAGACGCACGGACTGGAGTGGAGCATGGTAGACGGGTTGGCATTCGTAAGAGACAGTACAAAATGGCGTCTACGCCACTCTACGCCATACGACAGCGATCTCGCCGCGCATGCGCAAGGAAGTCGCTGCGCACGCGCGGCGTGTTCGTTGCGCGCCCGCTCCGCTTTGAGAACGCTCGCAAATCGCTAGTAAATGAAGTGTATTACATATCTATGGCTAGTATGATAAATCCCATATGGCTTGATCACACGTACCGAGCAAACGGGCGAGACAGTAAAATATTTCTTGGCCGAGACAGTGATGTAAGCGAGTAACTGATCACACGTGTTTTGAAATTAGCACAGTCAGTTCAGTTCTATTGAGACTTTAATTCGGACACGATGGATCGTAAAAAGATTATTGGAAAATATATAAAATTACTCATTCCACTATTAGCAGAAAATTTAAAGGAATTGTTGGAAAAAGAGCAATGCTGGATTGTTATTTTATTTCATTTATTTTTTATTTTCAGACATGGTGTATTGTTATTTTATTTGGAGTTGTTTTAAAGATAAAAATGTCAAAAACGGCGCGCGCGGCGACGTGATAACAATCATGTATCCGAGTGGCGAGACAGTGCACGGTCAGACCTGCCGAGAGAGCGAGCGAGACAGTGCGGGACAGCGTACACTCGGCCTAGTAAGTAGAACGGAAGTCAAGCTACTGGCTCGCTACTTCGTTCGGCCGAGCGCTCGGCGCTATGTTTATACGCACCGAGTACTCGGCCGAGAGCACTGTCTCGCCCGTTTACTCGGTACGTATGATCAAGCCATTAGCAGCATCGGTTGCCGGCCTCGTATCCCGCACATCAGCTAGTCGCTACTGACAAAGTCCGGAACCCATCGCTTGCGACGAAGGACTAGACGAGCGAATTAACCCACAGACACAGCTCACTGAGTTTCTCGCCGGATCTTCTCAGTGGGTCGCGTTTCCGATCCGATGGTAGATTCTGCGAAGCACTACTCTTCCTAGAGCCAGTGTTAACGACACTCTGGTTTGAGCCCCGTGAGCTCACCTACATGTTAGGGCGAAGCTGAAATAGCCTCTTAAGACTATCAGCATAAGTAGGGGAAAAAAACTGTCAAGAAAAAGTTTAGTGTAGCACGCTAGAGACTACCTACTAAATTTTTTATAACAATTTAATAACCTCGACCGCTATCAACAAACGTCTAATCTAAAACTACGAAATTAAATTAAGTTATTAAAAATCAACAAAACAACACCTCGAGCAATAAATTAAAATGACCTTGCCTTCGAAGGCTTGATAATGTTTAAGAAGAAGTGCTTATCTTTGTCGACTACCGACGAAGTTTATATGTAATAAAACCGGGTCACCGTATTCTTTTAACCAGGCCAAGTAATAAATGCAACGCTTCAAGAAACGTTATAATCCGCACAATCATTTTCTTCTTTTTCTCCACCTTATCCCACTAGGTGAGGTCGGCACAGTTAATTTTCTCTTCCATTCTTTTCTATCAGCCGTCATCCCAATACTCACTCTCTCTCTCATAATATGTTTTATATAATCGGCACAATCATATAAGACATATTTGTTAATGTGCTTTTTTAAACGTATTTAAGTCAGTCTCTAGTTCCCATAGTACAGCGAATCCTAGTTTGGGACTAGATGACCGTGTGTGATTTGTCAACGATTATTTATTTATATAATGAAGGAACAAAATAACATTTCATTTATTAAAAAAATATACATACTTTTTTGAAGTGAAACTTCTAATGCGTCTTCCAACAAGGTTGCGTTAAACGTTTAACGCTACCATGGAATAGAAAGAGACAGAGCGAGAGTGAATGCGTGGCACTCGAACGCACGCGCGTAGTATACCTGTTACAGGCCAGCGCAACCTTTTTTTCTTTTTTTTTTCCTATCTAGCTGAGAGCCTTGAGAGGCTATTTCAGCGTAACATTTACTAGTAGGTGAGCTCACGGGGCTCAAACCTGACGACGTTGCTAACACGAACGAAGCAAGAACCGTGCTTCGTAGAATCTACCACCGGATCGGAAACGCGACCCACTGAGAAGATCCGAAGATCCGGCGAGAAACTCAGTGGGCTGTGTCTGAGTGTGTCTATATATTTATTTTTCTATTTATAATTCAAAATATATATAATATAAAAGTTGAAGATATCGCATCTCTTATACACATCATTCCCTATCACAAAAGCAATCTGATTTAAGGATGAAAAATGAAAACAAACTCAGACGGGCAAAGTAGATCAAAGTTGGCCTTGACCTGGCATTGCGATTATCGCAGCCCATGGCCGACTCGCGTTGACAAGAAGTCGAGTCTCAGATTTCACTAAACAACTATTCCATCCTTCAAACCTGACCGAACGCTTTGCAAGAAAAAAAACCTTATTTACCCTTTGAGCACGAACTGTTGATATATCGACTCTCTATTAATGCGTATAAAGTGCACAGCGTCGGAATACTGACTATTTACGCAGTTTGATTGTAGGTATTAGTTATCGGTACCTGTACGGACATTCTTAGCGCGCGCTTGTATAACATTTTTAATAAATTAATTACATTTATAATCCGTTTAAAATTATTTTTCTGTGAATTTAACATTAATGTTTGTTGAGTTAAATTTCTTTTTAAAGTACTTCTTTTCAAAAATCCTTTAGCAATTTCTGTAAAATATGTGAAAATAAGCTCAGCACTAAAAGAGTTAAAGTTTCATTTTTATAACACAATGACCTGCCTCAAGATTTGAACTTCAACCCTTGTTTGCTGCGAATTATTATATTTTCCAAATCATTTATCTTAAACGAATAATTTTATTAATTTTCTGGTAGACATCTTGAGCTCACAGGTCCTCCAAATCGATCGCTCATTGATTTGAGAATGTATTTAGAGAAGCTGTAAAGAGTCACATTTGAACGATGAGACAGCAACTATAGTTGAGACTTATATGTAACGTCTCAAGGTGAGTGGTTACATTCTCATTGTGACATCTAGGGGCTCGGATAAACATTTAACCAGTACACCCATTTTTTCTCCTACATATTCGCTAGTAGCATAAAAGCTATTCGAGATACACCCGGACGGGTAAGTGAGCGCACAGGCTTAACTTGAAAGAATTTGCTAACACTAGCCCCCGCAATAATTCAAAGTCGGGTCGATGCGTTTGAGATGTGGTGCTGGAGGAAATTGCTGCGGATTCCCTGGACGGCGCATCGGACAAACGCATCAATCCTGGAAGAACTAAGCGTCTATTAGACTCTCCACCATTTGCCTACGTAGGATTTTAGTTTTTCGGTCACGTTGCCAGGAAAAAGGGTGACAATCTCGAAAGACTTCTCATCACCGGTAAAGTGGAAGGAAAGGGGCCTAAAGGGCGTAGTCCCATGCGCTAGTCCGATCAAATTAAGACGACTTTGGACTTAAGTATCAATGTTGCTATCCACTGCGTGGTGGACAGGGAGGAAGGGAGGAACATAGTCCTAACAAAAGTGCTCCGTAAAGGTGACGACCCTCAGCACCGAGGAATACGGCGCACGCCGGGAGCCCCAGCAAGAGCAATGCTTCGTAGAATTTACCACCGGATCGGAAACGCGACCCACTGAGAAGATCCGGCGAGAAGCTCACTGGGCTGTGTCTATGGGTTAGTTCGCTCGTCGATTACGACGGAGAGTTTGACGAGGACGGTGACCGGTGGTTGAGGGTCCTAAAAGCACGGAGAGTGAATCCAGGGAATCTGACGAAACATTTTTCAGGCGACGGCGGCTTTGCATTGCCCCGTCGCGGTTAGATAAGGCACCCAACCATTTAACCTCTATACCTAATAAAATTAACTAAAAATAAACTGTGGTGAAAATGCATCGCAATCGATATTACAATTCACTTTTTGATTAAATAAAATAAAAACAGACAATTTTAGTGACGCCGTTTTATTTTAGTAAAAATACGGATAAATTATTTACGAACTTAAATATACATTTATGTCTAAATCAGTTCTTCTTAAGACCTTTTCAAAAATATACTTCATAATCGCAAGCGTGTTAACAGAAGCAGACATTTCGCCATAGATAATAAATACACTTAATTTCGCCCGCTATCTCGCTCACTTCAGCCGTTATCCAATTACAGCACAAGAGCGCATTATGCGGCATAATGCTCAACTAAGCTTCAGCATAATTCGGCATTGTGCGCCACTGAGTCGCATTATGCTCTGTAATTAACCATTACTTAATGGTAGTTTTCAAATTACTGAACTTGAAATTACTTGAACCAAAATCATACCGAATTTTTTTCTGATTATTATACAAGTTAGTTTCGTGAATCGAAGTGAAATATATAGTCTATAATTAGATTAGCGCTGAATTCATCACCAAAAAAATATTTTTTATATAATTATTTCAGATTTATTTCATTTCTGCATTTTCACAAATTAAATTTTCTGTAATATAATAATCATATTAATTAATAGTGATTTTTAAGCCAGTTTTATTCGATTGAAAATTAATCGATTAATCGATCGATTAATCTCGATTGAAAAACCTTGTTCCCGTGGCTTCACGGTTATTTCATGTGGAGACTGAGCACTCCTCAATTCTACTGAAAATATTTCCATTAAAAACCAAAATAAACTAGATTATCTTCACAGGCGTTCGGTACATAATTCGTCCTAATCAGTTGATAGGTACGCATTCTGTTCTATTAGTTCTGCTTCTGTTTACATGCTTGAAATTTAACGTTTTCCAAAGTATTATTAACAACTTGATAATTATTATCAGACAAAATAATACTCGATTTATAGATTTGACAGTTGTCAAGTCTGTCAGACAAAATCGAATAATACATTTGTCAAGTTTCAATATTATCAGGTGAGATATTATTGGGTAAAAATACTGAATTATTTTCTTTGGGTCTAATGCTCTCTCATCCGTTGGCTGGCTAAGAGGTCAGTGGACACTTACAAGACTCAACTCCAATCAATTAGAATCATGTTAACCTTTACTATGTCATTACGAACGTATGGAAGAAATTAAACAATATTCATTAATCCAACGAGGATTTAAACTTTACTATCATATTATATTTACAAATTTTACTAAGTCATATGTCGTATATATGTTTATATACAAAACATGTTTGTTTTTGTAAATTAAAAACTAATACTAAAAAAGGCAGCAAAAGGTACCGATTTTTCGTATTCAACAGCACAAAGAAGGTTTAATGAGTACAGCTATAGTCTCAAATTAAAATTAAAATTGTTAAAAACAATTAATTAATTTCTCAATTTAAATAAACAATTTAGGAACCCCTATTTTTTTACATAGCATAGATATCTCCGAAGCTGGTCATTTATCTATAGATGTGTCATGTTCTCTGGTTATCAGTAAACCTTCTGTATAGCTTGCACTGTATATATTATAGATGTTTCAGTAATCAAGTGATTCGTTTTCATAACGGTAACAAAAATACGGAAGTTTTTCATTAAAAAAAAAGAACCAAAAAATATTAATTACCAATTAAATAAAAATGGGCGAATTTTAACACATAAATCTATCTTTAACGCAAACATTTTGAATTTAAGTGAGCACATGACAAGCTGTGGATATCACAACGACAAGACGTTTTCGACCTTGAGGTATGAGACCGAAAGCCTAATATTGAAACGTCTGTCCTACCATTCGTATAGGAACTCATGAGTGTCTTACATTATTACTCAAGATTAAATTCATTTATTTTAGAAAGATTGGCTTCTATTGCGAAGTGTTTTCAAAATCATAGCTGTTTAATTATGCAATAACAGTGTTTAATTTCAATGTTCAGTGTGCTTAGTGCAAGTTTTTACGAATGGTAAACCGTTGACGTCGCCCAAAGCACGTCATTACGGATCCTCCTGATCCATTAACGGTGCTTTTAGGCACCACAAGCACCGGTCACCGTCCTCGTCGAACCCGTCGCTTGCGACGGAGGGCTCGACGAGCGAATTAACCCATAGACACAGCCCACTGAGTTTCTCGCCGGATCTTCTCAGTAGGTCGCGTTTCCAATCCGGTAGTAGATTCTGCGAAGCACTGCTCTTGCTAGGGTCAGTGTTAGCAAAAATCTGGTTAGAGCCCCGTGTGCCCACCTACACACGTTAGGGTGAAGCTGAAATAGCCTCTCAAGGCTATCAGCATAGGTAGGCAAAAAAAAAACAAAAAAAGCAAGTTTTTTAACTTCTCGATCGCGTAAAAGTTAACTCAAATTTGTATGCAGTTGGAACAGCGCCCCTAGCGGCAAACGTAGGCAAATGTCCCAACTCCATACAAAATTGAGTTAGCTTTTACGCTATCGAAAAAGTTAACTCATACTAAGCACACTGAACAGTATTTGGAACACAAAACATGAATAATGTTGCAAGTTAATAAAAAAATTAAATAACCCCATATTACGAGAAACTTAAACGTGTTTTTAATACTAACACCAATTCAGTTGTTTCAAAATCTCCTAATAAATAACCTATGTACGTGAGAAATAAATAGGGAATTTTTAAACACTTTCTACAAGATATAAATATTAATCAGTCACGTTACAGTTTCCTTCAACAAGATGGCATCATTTTTATAAGTTTTGGCAGCACTATAACGTTGCGTAGCAAATAAAAATAATAGAGGCAGACAATGAATATCCAGAATTAAAAACAATGCAATCGAAACTTCAACATCACCTTTCAAGGTCGGCGGTATTCAGTGTGGTGTTTTTTTACCCTATAGTAGAATTATTTTGTCAGTGCAGTTTGGGTCATAAAACATAGCCCGGCTAGGGCGGTGAGCATGTTGCGCGGGCGCAACGTCATTATCGATAAAAACAAATGAGTCATCGAAGGCAGGTACACGGCGGCGGGGCGGTATACGAAGGGTGGTGAGACATGTTACGTTATGAGTCATTTGTTGTCGAAGAGAAATGTGTTTTTATGCATTCGCTCTCTGAATTTCTTTAGTGACACCATGGCTACTCCTTTGTTTTGTACCAAAACGGTAAATTTATTCAAAATAATATTTCCACATGTTGTTATCAACAATGTGTTAAAAATTTTCACTGAAATGAAAATAGATCCCGAAAAGTTACTAAGTGTAAATTTTTACTTTCATTTTTATCACTAACCCACAAAATGACAAAACTAAATACACTATCGATATCGCTTATCGAAAAAAATAATGCGCATCACTATGCTCGTCTATAAGGCTCGTGAGTGGAAGAGAGAGCGAAACATTCGCTTCACCGCTCCGATAATTTATGACCCAAACTGCACGAACAAAATAATTCTACTACAGTAACTATTACCCCAGGCAGAACGACTTGGAATTTTTTCTTTAAAATTTCCTTAAGCAGACTTAACCTAATAGGCGTATGGCTCTAATAAAGAGTAAATAAAATTTTAAAAAAATCCTTAGAAACAATGTCCAAGTCAGCATCAATAATTATTTTTGAGCGAAGCGATACGGTTGATGGCGGTGTCGTCATGAAACATTACATGCATTCCTTTTTTGTGATTCGACAGATAACCCCACAACTAGACTTCATGTACTTAAACTTATGAATTTATGAAATGATTTAATATCATTCTTTTTGTTTTTTAAATTCATATTAATACGATTTTAATGTGATAGAGTCAACCCTATGGCCTATGATACGGCATAATAAAAAACTGTGTGCGCTAGTTTTTAACTAGAAAAATAGATTTTATATGTGAAACATAGATTTCATACTTATAATTGACATCATAACATACCAGTTGCTGAGTTTGTGGATGTTCCTAAGTGATTTTGATACTAGTATGACAAAAAGAAACGTAATATCGTTTTTTAACTAAGCCCACTTTTGGACTAGTAGCTCACATTGAACTTCATAGATCATCATCATATGAGTGACATAGTTTTTTTTTAATTATTATTATCAGGTTTTTTAAAATAAGAATTGGCAACCCAATATTACTTTCATAATGTTCATGCATATATGTAAATTATATCCCATATAAATTATATGCATGAACTGTGCTTCTGATATTCCTGAGGTTATATTATACTATTAGTTCTTTTTTTACATCTTCATTTCAAACAAATAAAGAACAAATACAAAATCATTACATTTTACTAGTTGAAAAATATTTTTCAGCATTATTTTAGTCCTTAGAGCTATACAATAAACAAATTAAATACATAAAATACGTTAACTGCTATGTATCAATTTTTGAGTATCAATTCAAACAGGTATGACAATAACTTAAATACAAAGCTTCATACCAAAACGCCGCCATCTTGTTTTCCGCCATTTTATATTCATGCTTCAAAACGCCATCTTGTGTTAAGATGTTCCACCATTTTCTTACTAAAAATAATATCACTGCTGTAAGCATAGTCAAATCAACTCAACTTAGTCAGTGGTGTGGAATTAATTCAATTAGAATACAAACTTAAATGTACAAATGTTATGAATAATAAATAGTATCAGCAACATACCTACAATAACTCAATAAAAATTACTCTAAAGATATAGTCTGTAGATTATTAAATGTATGGGCTATGAGTATGATAGGTTGAGGATTGGGGTGAGGTTGCAGTACTGCTGGGAGATGCCTGGCGCCACATGGATCAGCGGGGAGTGCTTGTGGTGTCGATGCAGCTGCTCGTCTCAAAATTGCTCCACCTCTCATCACACAAGCCACACCTGCACGTGGGTCACAATTCTCATTACTACTACTGCTCTCATCATCAGAACAAAGGTCAATCACTTCACATTCTACTTCAGATCTTCTCAACGGGTCTGCAATCTTTGTTTCTTCATCTTCTCCTTGATCAGTGTCTATATTGTCCACAAATATAACATCTTTTTCTTGTTTCTGTTGTAGTTCACTTTCCAATTTATTTTTGCACTGTTGAATATAGTCTTCTATTTTTTCTTCAGACATTCTTTCAACATTAACAGTGAGAGCTCTGCATTTCAATAAACACAATTGAGCTTTAAGATCTAATATATCTTTATTTCTCTGGTCGGGGAACACATGCTTTCTGTTCCAATAATCTATAGGCCTCTTATATCTTACAGGGAATTGTTGATGTTTATTTTTACTAACTACATTTTTACTAAGGGGAGTGGAAGTACAACAGTAGCGTTCAATTCTCTCCCTTGAATAACTTGTATCTCTCTGTACTAATGTTTTAGCATTTTTAATGTAAGCTAATGATGAAAAGGGATAAGGTGGCCCACGGTCAATATTTGCAGCATTCCTAGCGTTCTTAGGTCTTGCTTCATATTCTATATGTTCAGACCCTGAGCATTGAACATCTGTAGCCTGTTTTAACTTCAATGCAGCTAAGAACTCTGGTAAACCACCACTCGTGCCAGCAGGAGAGTTGTCACCATGACACAGTCTTTCATGGACTTGTAAATTGTTTAAATTGTCAAAATGACTATCACAATTGTCACACAAATAAATGTCTGCAGCTCTCACCACAGGTTCTTCGTCTTCAATTTGTACATCCTTATCATAGTTTATATTCTCATTTCTGAATGTAACCAATAGACGGTTACTAGGTATATAATAAAGGGATGTTGTGTGATCCTTGTTGTCAACGTACAAAAGACGGTTACGGGGGTATCGCGACAATTGCGCTGAAAAGACCAGCAGAAATGCACTCTTGTGGTATTCATAGCATTTTTTGACAACATTTTTCAACCTGAGCTCCCAATCGTTGGGCACAGCTGCAGGCCTCACGAAGGGATGCGTGAACTCGACGTTGCTGGGCCACCATGGAGGCTGTCGAATATCCTTAGCTGTATCGTGACCCCAGGAACATGTCACCATAAATGTTATAAACCTCTCGAGCTCGCCGGCTCTGATCTTCGAAAGCGGTATCGGATTGCCATTGGCGAACAACAGCGGCAGATTAGCGATCATCGTTCCCGTAAGTTATTGTTATGGTCATCGAAATCTGACGAGGAGCATTTCTTGGAATCTCATTCCGCTCAACGATATTAAAACGAACATCACGAAGGCGCACACCATTGTGCCACTGCTGAAGCTATACATTCACAATTCATAAGTTCTGTCACTAAATTTCATTGACACGAAGTTGCCTCCAAAATTACGAGAATTGTTTTCCAATTCAAGAATCATAGAAACGAGAAAGCATTTGTCCGATGCATTTAAAACTCAAAAGCGAGAAAGAAAGATATAGATCCACAGACTTAATAAAACTTTGTTACGACTTATTTTCTATGCGCATGAAAAATAATGCGATTGCTATACGAAGTGACGAGCGGACGGGGCCAAATCGGGTCAACTATCAGTCGGACTGTTGCCAGCCCTGCACATTCACATAAATCTAAATCTTTTTTCCAAATCCCATCAGTTTTCATATGCATTTCTCATCTAAATTGGTCCTTAAAGCCATCCGGTACAACTTTAGCTAAAATATAACTAAAATCTACAAGAATCAATGTGCTATCGTAGTAATTGATTTTGATTTGACTTTGTTCGAATTCAAAGTAGAACATCAGGTAATATTTGTAAAACTATACACTTATAACTTTTTTTTTTTTGTACATCGGATCGTAAGCTACACAGTTTTTCGCAAGCAGTAAAGTAATGTTGTGAAAAACAGTTTTACCGTTCGAAAAGATTGGCAACATTGCTCTAGTCCACACAGGATGCACGTAGTCTACTTAGAATTAAACTAGCAACTGTCTGCGGTCTCGCTTTCTGTACGAAGCTGAATTCCTTTCAAGGTAAATTGTATTAACAGCTATATTAATTATTGTTGTAACTTCTAATAGGTAAAGAGGGTTTCTTTTTTGGGAGATCTACACTAAGCGCGTTTTTACGTGATATACATAATAACGGTTCGAACTCGGAACTTGAATTTTATATTGCAAACTTATCGAAAATGTCGTTAGCCCCATTCCGACATTGTCTTAATATTTCTTTCCACATTGTAGGAAGAGTAATTGGTGACACTGTTCAAATAATATTAATGGAACACGATGCACATATTTCGACGACTTCGGTGTGCATTTGGGTTCCAAGGTATTTTATAAGGTAACGTGCAAGGTGTATTTTACATTTACCTGATTTGCAAACTTTTTAATTGTTTTACAACATTAATTAATTTACATCTATAAAATCTGACAATACTGACTATGCCAGAAGCTGTTTAATTTACTATGACCTTACTGAAAGACAGACGGACTTTAGAAAAATGGTCGGTGCATGGAATTAATGGGTTCATTTAATACACTGTATTACCGAATGGGGCTCATCGCTACGACACATTCTTGTAATTTTTTTTAATAAGGCGATTGGCTTCTATCGATGCCATTGTAATCAGTGCCGAGAAGTTTATTTATTTAAGAATGTAATCAACGGGATGAAAATTGAAATTAAATGAAACGAGATGAGGTCGTATGAAATACAGTCTCATAAAATGATGTTTTTTTTAAACTGAGACTTCAATGATTTTTTTTTAAGAGAAGTCACTTTTGCAACTTTGTTTCATTTTTGCCCTGTCACAGATGCTAAAACATTAATAAACGACTGCTATTACATGTTGAACACAAACATCCCATTAACAAACCAAACAATTCACTAAACTTTGCTCTTCATGTAGGTAGGTACCCGTCCACGACATACGGTGCTCTAGCAACAGCACAGATAATACTCTTGGATTGGACCACTGAAGTATGAAACCTACTTAATATGACATTGACAGACAATGACATGTTTATGATGACCAAACTTCAGGATAAAGTTTAAAATTGTTTAGTTTGGCTTTTTTTGTTTGTGTGCGTATTTTTATTGAGGGTTTATTGACTGAAGCAGCTGATTTTATGAACACAATTTGCATCTATTCACGAAAAGATTGAACTATGTACAAAATTTAGTTTTTCTAAAAAGTGAATCGTTCTAAAAATGATAACGAGTTTTAAATAAAGAAACCATGGTAATGAATTGCACCTTCGAAATTTTATAAGGAGTAAAGATAAGCAAAAAAAAAAAACGTTGGCATAAAATTAAATTGAATATTTTATCTTTAAAGGACCAGAATTCAGCGAAAACAGCTAGTCTACCAAACAATGGTACGGAAGGGATTGATTTCGAGTAAGTTTTCATTATCAGTACTCGACTTATTTTTAATTCAAGCAAGTATGTATCAATTCAGTAATAAATTCAAGTATGGAATATTTTTATTATGACTGAAACATGTTTAAGTAATAGAAGATAAGGAATTTAAAACCTTATTACTTACCAAAGTACTTTAAACAATGGATATACATTTAAAATCTGATTCATACTTATACCATAAAGAGTTTTGACCTACATTTTTACAAGGATAAAAATTTTCGTTTACTATTCATGTTTTTTTATCTAAGTTCAATTCAATTCAATTTTTCTAATATATTTTGTATTCAATGCGTGATGCACAATATAAAGACTAAGCACCACAAAAGTACATTTCTTTTATATTTCGATATGAACATAGAATATTTTATAGAGTAATTTATAGAATATACTCACTCTGCTGCATAGTGACAGGATAACTTATTGCTAGTTTTGATTTAAGGGTAGATTCAGTTAAGTTATCATCAGTCCATCATATTTTTATCCTTATATTTTAATACCTAACTACCTACCAATAGTAACTTCCAATAACATCTTGAGTACTGATTTTCTGTCCATCATATTTTTATGCATTCTGGTTGTAGAAACTTATGTTGTAATAAATGTGTGACTTCAAACTCAAAGCAAACTACCAGCAAAAGACTTGTAAGCTTAACTTTTCATTGGGGTTAGCACTAAAAACTTTTAATGAAAAAGAGAAAACTTGAACACTGGTGGTAGAGTGTCTTACGAGGCCAGTAAGTACCATCACTCTGTCTATTTCTGGCAGGAAGCAGTTATGCGTTTTAGTTTGATTTCGATTTAAAAATTTTTTTTTTATTGCCTTTGTAGGCAGACGAGCATACGGCCCACCTGATGGTGAGTGGTTACCGTCGTCCATGGACTTCAGCAATGCCAAGGGCAGAGCCAAGCCACTGCCTACCGCTTAATACTCTCCACAAGCCTCGTTTGAAGAAGGACATGTCATAGCGCTCGGGAAACACCGTGGAGGGGAGCTCATTCCATAGCCGGATGGTACGTGGCAAAAAAGATCTCTGGAAACGCACTGTGGATGACCGCAGTGGCTCCAGGTAGTATGGATGAACTCTACTTCGGTGCCGGGCGGGGCGATGGTAAAAACGAGACGTTGGTATCATCTCGAACAATTCCTCAGAGCACTCCCCATGGAACATGCGGTACAAAATACAGAAGGAACCGAAGTCCCTCCGCAAACCCATTAATTTAAAATAAGTGTTAATTCTACTGATTATGACATTATAACATTGAAAAGATATGGGTGAATAGCCTTTCTAAATTGTATTTCATCTGCAAGTAAAAATAGAATGACCTTGACTTTTTTCTTTGTATTACCTAAATATACAGAAATCTTAGCTTGCGTAACGATCTGCAGGTTAGTTTAATGATTTAAATTTACAAAACTTATGTTCTGGCGATTTTGCTATTTATTTCTCAATTATATGTAAAACATATCCAGTTGTTATAAATTTTCTCTTGTGTAAAAGAAAGCAAACAGACACATTGCAGCGTGATTGCTACTTTTTAACTTCAAGAAATAAGGAAAGATTCAATAGAACTGAACTCTGAATAGCATTTGTAGACAGACAAACACACAGCCCACATAATCATAACTGGTTACTGACGCTCATGGGCATCAGAAACGCTAGGGACACATACATCAATATTAAAAAAGAAAAAAAAAGAAAAAAATCAGTTGTCTGTAAAGTCGATTTACTGACGATAGTTGAACGTGACAACGTCATAAGAAAATACTGATGGAATGGTTTCATTTTTCAATTATCGCAATTATCGTTGCTATAAACAATTGACACCACATTCACTTTTCACTGAACTTCATAGTTGACGAAAACATGTAAATTTATTATTGTATAGCAGCTGTCCACGCGGATGCATCGCTCACTCAAGTAGGAGAGAGACATGTCGAACGCTATCGAACGCGGAGGTCGATTGTGCCTCTTTGTCGCTCGTTGCGCGCTCTCGCTTGCACTTCAAGCCTTAAATGGAACGCCTCATTAGTAATGTATTTTCGTGCGTGCAGTCGGCTCCATCGAATTATAAGACGTTGTCACGTAAAAAATATATATCATTCAATCCGTTGCTTCGTTTAGATGTAAAAGAAGGATAAACAGACACTCTCACATCTGTATTATTAGTATGAATAATGATTTCTCAATAACATACTTCCACCAGCCTGGAACAGCCGCTGTGGTGTTTGGAGGAGCTTCAGAAAGCGGCTATTGAGCATCGACTCCTGCGTCCACGGAGCCTGGCCTGGGCTATTATGCTGAACGCTTTGCCACCTCCGAATGCGGACATCGTTTCTCGGTATTATATTTATCTGAAACAAACTAAAGCTATTGTGGTGTAGCAAAGAGTTTGAAATCAGTAGAATTGGTCGAAGGTACATTTTAAGTTGGCTCATTGGAAAGTTATTGAGCATTTCTTTAAAACGTTTTTAACGCCATAGGTTAGGGATAAATAAAGTGCAATAAAAAATAAATCTGCCGTTCTATAACCTTTTCGTAATCACTGGGAATCATATTCTGTATTGTGTATTACATGCGCGCACGGTACCAGTGTCATGTGTACTTCAACTGCCAAGTCAAACTATGTGATTAAAAAAATGGAACAGCCCTCTTACTAAAGTATACTAGATACTACTACTATACTAGACTATTATACTAGTGTTAAGGGTCTACTCGTGTTTCCATACGAAAACAAAACAAATTACCGACCAAATTAGACCTAAATAAAATGTCAATTTGTGCTTTCAGCCTAAAGTGCCATAGGAACTTCTACGATGACTTGAAAGTGAAATTATCGATGGATCCGAGAGCCGTGATTGGGGATGACCCACTCTCTCAGAACGATAAGGTATAATGTATGGCTTAATTATATTCTGCATCTCCATACAGCTTTGTTGTTATTCTGCTTGGTGTTCAATGCTGACCCAAACGAAGATTAGAAAGGTAGAAGCTGTCGTGGCCTAAAGGAGAGGACGCCCGGTACACTCGTATCGAGCGATGCGACAGGCCCCGTGTTCGAATCCCGCAGGCGGGTACCATTTTTTCTAATGAAATATGTACTTAATAAATGTTCACGAATTACTTCCAAATTGAAGGAATAACATCCTGTAATAAAAATCAAACTGGCATAAATTATAATTTACGTAAATACTGGTAGTAGATCGTCTTGTGAGCCCGCACGGGTAGGAACGCCACCCCAATTATTTCTGCGACGGAGCAATAATGACTTGGTTCGACTGCTCTTTTTTTTATTGCACAGATTGGTGGACGACCTCACAGCGCATCTGGTGTTAAGTGATTAAACGTAAATGCCGCCACCCACCTTGAGATATGACTTTTTTATTGCTTAGATAGGTGAACGAGCTCACATCGCACCTGATGTTAAGTGGTTACTGGAGCCCATAGACATCTACAACGTAAATGCCGCCACCCACCTTGAGATATGAGTTCTAAGGTCCCAGTATAGTTACAACGGCTGCCCCACCTTTCAAACCGAAACGCAATACCGCTTCACTGCAGAAATAAGCGGAGTGGTGATACCTACGCGTGTGGACTCACAAGAGGTCCTACCACCAGTAAAAGTGGCGATGACGGCCTTGAAATTATACAAGGAAAGTACAGTTAGGCCGTTCATTCGATCAGAACCAGATAGACAATAACAAATTCATTTAAAGCCGTTTTAGAACTAGCGACTTCTCGTGAAAACGCTCGCGATATCGTCGAGCCGGAATCGTCTAGTGTAAAATTAGTTGTATCACCCGACAGAGCGCTTGGCGACAGCACTTTTGCGACAACGAACTCAAAACTGTGATACTCCAAGATGTCGTGAGGACGTTTCCTGATGAGCTTTACTTTAGGGAGAAAGACGTTCAAGATCTGATGGTAAATTAAATATTATTTCATTTCTCGTTCATTTAGTCTCTGTTTAATAAAAACGATAATTGAATACGTGGTTTCGTCACATAAACTGCTTCACAAGCGCGCGATAACTCGTCGATTAAAAGCCGTTCATTCTTCAGTGTGCTTTGTGTGAGTTTTTTAACGTTCTCGATAGCGTAAAAGTAACTGAAAGTATGCGGTTGGAACAGCGTCCCCTAGTGGCAGAGGTTTTTTTTTCGGGCCGGGGGCCGATCCTCCTACGAGGTCCCCGCGCCTATTGAAGATCTGCAAGGTATTGGGGGCAGACCACGGGCCCAAAGAATTTTAGGGCCCTACCGCACTAAACGACTCCCCTGCACTCTTACACCCGACGTCCGATTTCCGTCCGGGGTCATAACCCGGTCAGAGTAAGGCTAACATTCCAACTCCATACAATTTTGATTTAACTTATACGCTATCGATAATGTTAAAAAATTCGCACTAAGCGCACTGAGCAATGAAAACTAAAATGCTGAACGAGTCTGAGCCTATTCACAAACACTTCGCAGCAGAAGCTGGTTGGATAGTGGTGATGGTACCCACAAATTTAATGCAAATAACTTAGATGCTATGTCTCACGGAGACCAGCTGCGGTTCACATCCTTTGTGCAATTACCCGCAGCCATCTATTTGTTTGTTTGTTTGTGTACTATGCATTTTTATTGACAGCTTCTGCTAAATATTTGTGTATATAAAAATGGCGTATAAAATGAAAAAGAGCAAGTCTCGGAATCTCATCGACGATAACAGTGCAATAATTTTATTATTTTGCCTTAATATCCAGACCAGGACAGATAGGAGGATTAAGAGCCATGGTTTTTTTTAGTTCGATTTACTATTAAAGCGTTATATTCTATTAGTTTTCAGTCTACACATATTTTATTAAACTATATAATAATATTACTTGTCAAAATACATATATTTTATTTATTTACATATATAATATTAATTTACATATATTTTATCAATTTATATATCTTGAAATTAATACGTGAAGCAAAAACTTTGCACCTCTTTTTACGAAAATTTCGCTGACGGAGGAGTATGAAATTTTCCAAACTTATAGAGAATATGGAGAAGGAGTGCAGAATGTTAACATTTTTTTAATTATTCATAAAAAATACATTAAATCAATAAAAAAGCATTACACACATTACCATATATTTGACTACTTGTTCATCGTCAAACTGTCTGTGGTCAAATAGAGAATAGATTAAATATTGTTTGTCTTTATATTTGTCTAAAGCGTAGTCTTGGCGAAATTTGTGATAATAGAAGCATAGTAAATAGTCTTTGACAATAGAATCATAATCTATACTAATATTTATAAATCTACAATGGTTTTTACGGATGTTCTGTTATAAGTACTAAACCATGCATCCGATTGACTTGTAACTTGGTATCCATGTAGAAAATATATGTACTTAATGGATAGGCTAATATTTATAGTAGTGTTGGACTCCCTAAACCAGTTGCGGGGGCGTTAATGATGAGAATCTTTGTGGGGGTGAGAAATAATAATGTTAATTTTAAATGCCCAGCGAAGCGGACTAGTAGCAGCTAGTAAACTTATAATTTCAATTAATTGTAGTTGAATTTCGACTACCGGGGGACCGCTAGTATTATATGAATTAACATATATTTTATATCATTTCAGGTCCGAGTCCTCTTCTATTGGGCGCGTTCGCACTCGCACGTGGGCTACAGACAGGGCATGCACGAGATACTGGCTCCGCTACTCTTCGAGCTGTATTTGGACAGGAAGTTCGCGCCCCGGGCCATCAGGTGGGTACCGCTCCGGGGACTGGACTCGCTTGCTGTGGCTTGAGGTCCAGACCTCGTTTGTGTCACGGCATCGCAGTGGGGAGAGAAGTGTTCAACAGCGCAGGTTGAATAACAACCAGATAATTTTGAATTCATTTAACAGTTTTATGTTTGATAAACGGCCCGCTCCGGCTCCGCTCGGGTTTTTAACAAAAATTTCAACGAAATTTGAAGTCGTTTTATTTTTTTAAATAAAAGAACACTGTCGTGACATAACTATAATAGTTCAACATATGCTGTCCCGACACTTTTTGTAAATAACAAGGTGTTCTACAAAGTCTTAGTACATTATTTTATTCTATCATCAATAGTTTTCGCAGGGTACGCGATGTAAAGAATATTTTAGGTATTTTTTTTACATCTTGGGATACATTATTGGAGTTTTAGTAAGGATCCCTAATTTTTTTCAAACAAGATTATAGTCTATGTCACTCAAGAATAGTGTAGCTTCCAAACAGTGAAAGAATTTTTCAAATCGATTCAGTAGTTTCGGAGCCTATTCAATACAAATAAACAAACAAATCTTTCCTGTTTATAATATTAGTATAGATATGAGAGTGAGAAGATGGTAAGTTCGTCGATTCGTTTCGAAAACTCCTTGATCTAATTTCGATTATCAACACTAAAGAGTATTTTAACTGGATTAATGAATTTAAATTCGTAAATTAAACTTTTGGCGGCGACATTGCGTTTTAATTATTTATCGCATTTTTTATTATTATTGAGGTACGTTTAGTTACGCTTGGAGCGTCAACAGATGGCGCGAATCGGGGAAGTCCTCACTTTAACTATGTTTATATAACGCAGTGTTTTTCTATTTTTGTTTCAGTGACAAATTAAAAATTATACTCGACGAAGATTATTTGGAGCACGACAGCCAGTAAGTGTATTCGCGTTGTGTTTTTTACTCAGCTAGAACGAACTCACGGCCTGTCTGGAGCTAAGCAATGACTATAGATGAAAGTAGAATCGCTAAAGTCGACTTGATTTGTAATCGTCGATATGTACGGACGATGATTTCTCCTGGCAAAAAAATTAAAAAAACCAAGGGCAGGTCGAGTTTATCTTGAAAATAGCGTTAGCGCGATTCAGACAGACCCACAATGGCCACGACTACACTGTAGCACGAGATCACGTTGCTTTGCGATTAACGTCGGCCGCGTGTTGTTGCAGCATGCTGTTCAGCACCGTGATGCAGGGACTGGAGAGGTTTTACGTGACTGGCGACGTCGTGCCCTCGCCCTCCGGTAGGATGCCCTCTTCCAGGATGATCCACGTAAGTCTACACTCTAAACCAGCGGTCGGGGAGCCGGGGTAAATTACCCCAGATGGGGTAAAATGAAATTTTGGTGGGTAAAAATGAAACTTTTGAGAGTAAAAAGTATATATTGAAGTGAAACTTCTTTAGAACTATTCAAACTCGACGAAACGAAAAAAAATATTTTTTTTGAATTTTTTTTCAAAATTATCGTCGGGACTTATAATATGAAAGATGCTAAAAAGAAGCGATTCCATAATTTTTTTTGTTCTGCGCCATGTGGTAATATCAACTTACACAAAAATATTTTGGGGTATAATTAAAAAAGTACCCCGACCGCTGGTCTAAACGGAGGGTGCTCCACGAGGGGTCCGAGAGGGTTCTCGGCCGACCCGGGGCGGCCACTCTGGACCTCGTAAGTCTGAGCACCTCCTCGCCTCGTCCGGGACCCGGGCTCAGATCGTTGATGTACGTCTGGATGTTTTTTTAATTATTTTTTATTGCTTAGATGGGTGGAAGAGCTCACAGCCCACCTGGTGTTCAGTGGTTACTGGAGCCCATAGCCATCTACGACTACTTTAAATCTATCTATTAAATCTACTAATCTATCTATTAAATCTACTTTAAATATTTACTAACAGTCACGCCACGTTAACTGGTCCCGTGCTAAGTTCGTAAAGAACTTGTGTTACAGGTTTTTTTTTATTTTTTTTTATTGCTTAGATGTGTGGACGAGCTCACAGCCCACCTGGTGTTAAGTGGTTACTGGAGCCCATAGACATCTACAACGTAAATGCGCCACACACCTTGAGATATAGTTCTAAGGTCTCAGTATAGTCACAACGGCTGCCCCACCCTTCAAACCGAAACGCATTACTGCTTCACGGCAGAAATAGGCGGGGCGGTGGTACCAGATAACGGAAATAAATATAAGATTTTTATTATACACATACACATATTTAATATACATCCATAACCCTGGAAAAGACATTTATATTTATCATACAAATATCTTCCCTTGGCGGGATTCGAACCCGCGACCCCCTTGTGTAGTGACCATGTCACTTACCACTACACCAGACGGCCGTTAGAGACAGAACCCATAGACATCTACAACGTAAATGCGCCACCCACCTTGAGATATAAGTTCTAAGATCTCAGTATAGTTACAACGGCTACCCCACCCTTCAAACCGAAACGCGTTACTGCTTCACGGCAGAAATAGGCAGGGCGGTGATACCTACCCGTGCGGACTCACAAGAGGTCCTACCACCAGTAAGATGTTTCAGAATCCAAACGAAGTGGTGAGATACCTGGAGAAGGTCAAGGAGGACTACTTGTTCCCGCTGGACCCCGAGCTCGCCACGCACCTGACCAACTTCAACATTTCCTTGGAGCTCTTCGGAATGTGAGGACCGTTATTAGCATGACAATGTCAGTCTATTCGGCCGTTAGGCAGATGGTGGCGTAAATACGCTATTCATAAGGATGGTATCCAGATCGTTTATTGTTTTTGCGTCAATTTAATACGCAAATGAAATAATACAGATCACTGACACCGACCGTCTTACGGTCTAGCGGTACAGTGGACGCCGTCGCTCATTGACATTGACAATAACAAGGAAGCAGCCAAGCTGTTGCTCACTTAGAAGATTTGTGATGATACCGTAATAATTAAAACTACTTTTACGCTTTATTATTGCAGACGTCGTTGGTCGCAAACGACTGAGGTGTTACTTGTCGACACGTGAGCATTGTGCTAACTCATGCTTATATTTTTTTTTATGGCCTGGAAACAAGACCTTTAAGCCAAGTGTTCCAAGTGTTATATTTTCTTCTTAAAATACATTCTGTTATGACATTATAAATTGTATGAAGCGAAATACGATTAAGTTGATTAATGTGAGACGGACGAAATAGGAGTCTCAGTAAAATAATGGTTATTTACTGAGATTTTTCGGTCAGACTTTTTGATGGAACCCGAGGAGCCACGTCTAGCGGTTGTGTTTGTGCGCTTTCACAGATTCCAAATAGTTAATAAACCAATGTTATTTCACATTTAAACCTGAAGAAACACTAAATGAACAAAATACAGTGCAACCTCGACATAACAAATCGGACGGGGCAAACTGATATTCGTTATATGAAGTAATTCGATAAACTGAGGGTTACCATTTGTTAAAACGAGGTAAAAAAGCGTATTTACGTACTCTCTTGTTATAGCGAACAACTCCTACTAATAAATAAATGATAACACATTTTTATCAAATTACTGTACGTATTTTGTATTTGAAAACAATTAGGTAGGTAACAATTTTTCTCAAACCTATCGAGACTGGTTCGAATACTATAGGATTAAGGGTCATATTAGTGGGAATGTTATATAAAAGTTTCGGGTTGACAAATGCGTTAATTAGAGGAATCTACACTTTTTTTAATAATTGAAAATTCGTCATTGTTTGCAAGAAACCTTCGCAATGTAAAGGTACATTTTACATTGACTTTTAGGGACAATTCAAGGGGATAACGAAGAATTTGTTAAATCTAGAACGTCGTTATATTTTGTCAAACCAAAATCTGCTATGTGCACTTTTTGAGATTTTTACTTTTTGACCTTTTCGTATAGTTCACAGCCCTATCTACCGTATAAAAAAACTGTTATGTGTCTATAGCTTCAATATTTATCTATAGCTTTCATTTGATATAATTCTTAAAAATTCACCTTCATATAAAATTTAAAAACGAAATTGTTTTTACTCGTTAAATCCAAAATATAGTTTTTGCACATAGCAGATTTCGGTTTGAAAGCGACGATATTAAGGCTGCACTATAAAACGATTCGTCCTAGTCGGCTCCTCGCGTTCTCGCCAAATAGTCCAATTCACGCGTCGCGTGTCGCATGACGCGTGTAGCGTGTAGTGTGACGCGTATCGCGTGTCGCATGTAGCGTCGCGCGCGTCGCATATAGCGTGACGCGTATCGCATGTCGCGCGTCACGTTTGGGTCCGTGAGCTGGTCGGGTGCGCAGCCGCTGGCTCCGGCTGCTGTTCGGGCGCGAGTTCCCGCGCGCGCAGCTGGCGCCGCTGTGGGGCTTCCTGTTTGCGCAGGGGCCGGCGCTGCCGCGGCTGCACTACGTGGTGGTGGCCGCGCTGCTCGCCGCGCGCGCCTCCCGTGAGTACCACTATAACTATTTACTTTCGAATTATCTCTAAATGACTTTCCAAAGGGATGTTCGTTTTAAAATGTTGTAATGTTATCAAACGATATAAGAAAAACATGAAAAAAAAATTTTTAGTAACTCGGTAATTTAAAAGAAAAAACCGGTTAACTTCGAACAGCTTTTTTGGATACTAAAGGTTTATATAACTTGCATATTAGAGTCTTTAAACACTCAAAAAACGTTCAGTACTAAATTAAGCTAATTGGAAAATTATGCTAGAATTGATGAAAGACGCACAAAAGTCACAAGCGCTTTCTGGCAAATGAGGATCTAGACAATGTGTGTCCAGCGAGTTGTGTCTGTCGGCTCACAGGCACGGGCCGCACAGTCAACGAATCATTTTCATCTAATGATGCTTCCTTAAGATAATTAGCTTAAAGCGTTTCTGAGAATTTGTAATCGGTACTCATCTCTATCGCCGTAGTTTAGAGGATAAGGCGGCCGGTTCGCTCGTCTCCAGCGACCGTGTGTGTGATGAAGGATGTAGTCGCAGCAGAGGCCGCCCCGTGTCCAGCTCGGCCGCAAAGTAGCCGCGTGTTCCGGCTCGACCTCATGCCTCAACAAATGTCACCGCTACACCAAGTGGACCATCCCTTTTATATTCACAATGACCATATTGTGCACTTTGCATTTTTTTTCCTTTATTGATGCACAAAACAAATTACAGCCATAGAATTTATAAGTTTAAATATTTAATATAACAATCAGGATTACAATTCAAAACAGGTATATACAGAAAAATTATAACATCTGAACAGATACCTAAATACCTTGTGTGTGTATATACATGTATACACATACGCAATTATGGATGTTGTTGAGTAAGAGCATTGTGTTCCAGTGCTGGACAACGACCCGGGCGCGGTGCTGTCCGCCCTCATGCGGCCCTCGCACGCCAGCGCGGCGCACGTGTGCGCACTCGCGCTGCATCTGTGGCGCCCCCTGGAGCACCCGCGCCCGCCGCCCCCGCCGCCGCCGCGCGCCGCCGACAGGTGAGCTCTTGCAATTGTAAAGGCAGATGGGGAGTGCTAAACAAGGAAACCAGGAGGGACTCCAAACGTACGGCCAGATCGAAGCTGTCGTTAATTGGATTGGCCTTCTGTATGGAGCGAGACGGACGGAGTTGATAATTGACGGTCAGGACTCAATACGGGGGCCCCGGGCCGCGCTGAACTGTGCGCTCTGAAGGCTGTTCGAGCATTATACTGTCTCGCCTCGCTGAGGACTTCCAATTTCTGAAAAGGAACATGGCTAGGGCAAAGTACTCAGGCGTGCCCTTTAAAGTCTCCACCTCAGACAAAAGTTTTGATGCAGCCACCCCGCGGAGCCGACGAGGGAGAGGAGAGAGACCTGGAACATCGAGGTGGTCGGCAGCGAGGCCGTGAGCTCGGGCTCCGAGTCGGAGGGCGTGGCGGAGGGCGGCGACGTGTCGCGCTCCCTGGCCGCGCTGGCCGTGCTGCGCGCGCACCTGCCGCCCGCCGCCGCCGCGCTCGCCGCCGCCCTGCCGCGCCCGCCGCCCGACGCACTGCCGCACCTGCGCCGCATCCTGCACGTACGTACTGTCCGCCCCGCCCCGCCCCGCCACGCCACGCGACGCTCTGCGCCCTTACGCAAACCCCTTTCTCTCTGTTGCACGCGTGCAGCTCGCGGCGCTGCTGCAGTGCAAGAATCACACCCTGATCGACGTGGAGACCGCCTTGGAAGCCGCCGAAGGGCAGCAGCCGACCGACAACATCGGGCGCAAGCAGCTGGTGCCGGTCACCGCCATCGCTGTCAAGAACAAACCCAACAAACAAAACTTCGGTCCGCTGAACAAAGTCAAGGAAGTGCAACTGAAGGTGTTCCACCAAGTGGAGTGCGACCGAGCCGGCGACCTGCCCTGCCTCGACCCTCTGAGGCTGAGGACCGAATGACTGAGACGGAAGTTTGCGTTGTACAGTTGCTAGACGCCCTCCGCTGGAGGTCATACGTAAACACAAACTGTTCTTTGTGATGTAGGTAATAAAACTGATAATTGTTTTGTGTCACAATTAGACGAGGTACAAGTCACACACACGGTGATCACATATAGATACTAAACACCCAAACAAAGTGCGAACAATCTAGTTCATCACACAAATGTTTGGCCGACGTGGGAATCGAACCCGCGACCCTCGGCCCAACAATTATGGTGGCTAACTACTGCTTCACCGAGTCAGTCACTTGTATCAAGTTGGGTGTTCACGAACTTGTGAAAAAACGTTCAAATATGTGATTTAAATTATTATTTTTAATAATATAAGGTGAGATATAAACATGCTCCTTGGGACAGTTGCTGACCGGTGTCAGAATGCATTTGCACATCACTTCAGTAGTTGGAAATTTGTAATGTATTTGTTTATTATAGCAGCGGTCGGGGAACTTTTTTTATTGATTACCCCAAAATATTTTTGTGTAAGTTGATATTACCCCGTGGAGACGAACCAAAAAAAACCAAATGCTTCTTTTTAGCATCTTTCATACTATAGCCCCCATGATAATTTTGAAAAGAAAACAATAACTAAAAATTTAACGATTCTAAAGAAGTTTCACTTCATATATACTTTTTACTCACAAAAGTTTCATTTTTACCCCCCAAATTTTCATTTTACCCCATTTGGGGTAATTTACCCCGGTTCCCCGACCCCTGGTTTATAATGTTGAAGTAAAAGGAATAAATAAATATGTAAATAATAAATGAATAAAGAGATGAATGAAAGAAATGAAGAAATGATAAATGAATATAAATAATACAGAGAATAAATTCATATGTACCGTTTATTGGTGATAGGACTAGTTGTCGCCCTGGGCAGCTACCACCGTCTTGTGTTTCTTCACTGTGATTCTGCCGCGAAGTATTCATTGGTCCAACAGAAGAGTTAGGACAGATGTTATTGACATACCAATATACGTTGTCTCAAGGTGGACGCCGGTGTTCACGCAGTGATGCCCACGGCCTCCAATAACCGGCTTACCATTTAAAGCATACATAAAAAAGTGAATTTCGCATTTTCTCGGTGACTTATTATTAGAAATAAGGGTCTAAATACCTGTCGTTTTTAGTTATGAAGAAATACAAAAGATGATTTAAGATTAAAGGAAAATAATCGCTCAACTTTAGTTAGTTTAGGTTTTTTTGTGATAATTTACGAAATATCTAAGTCTTTATCGAAATAAGATAGAAGATAGTGATTAAGCTTTATATTGTTTTTTGGATCGAATATGAAGGTATACCTAAGGTTAATGTTGCCACAAATATATATTTTTAAAGCCCCTATAGCCATGGCCCATCTAGTATTTGCTAGATAGAGGTTTCTTCCACAGTTAACTGTAGGAAAAGTATCGCTGTAAACAATGTCAATCAGATGAACAGTAGCAGATAACTAATGTGAAAATCAAATGCGAATAATAAAAATGTGTACTGTTTCAAGTGCAAAATAAATATAATTATAAGACATTTAAATTGTATGATACTACCTGTAGTTCCAAAGTAAGCTTACTGTGTACATAATATGTCCATTATAGTTGGTTGAAACAAAAATAATATTTGTTTATTTATATTTGTTTAATAAATATAATACCATATTAATTGAATAACTGTATATTATTGTGATGCTATATAATAGAAGTTGGTATTTTTTTGAGAATAAATCTTTTTGTTACAAGAATTAAAAATGTAAATATGTTGCGTATTTATTTAATAAATAAAGCAAAATTATGCATAATAGTAAATACTGCAAAAATGATTAAAATATATTTTCTTCTTGTGACAGCTATTTTAATGTTGGTAGAATATTTATTTAGTACTCTCAGTTTTTTTGCTACCTACCCTTCTGTAGCTACCTACCAAAAGACGAATAAATTCATAGCCCAGCAGGTGACACGTGCTTAGCTGCTTTCAGACTATGCTATACTATATTGCCATATAGTATAGTAACCTATACTTAGCCAATAATATATTATTATAGTACAGTACAATGTGAATGTGTCCATAACAATGTATGGTGTGCAATATTGTTGTGCTATGAGCTATATACTATAATATGCTATTATATTATAGCGTAGTCTGAAAGCGGCTTTATTGTAACTATAGACATGACGACAGCGTGAATTCTACGAAGTATCACTAATTTAATCTATTTTTTTACGAATAATTGCTATTGGTCCAAATGCTTCATCGGGCCGAGTGAGTGAGCTCAAAGACTCAGTCAGGGCGGACTTTGCTAACAATATCATAAGCGCCACCAAAAAAGGTTGGGTTGCTACAACATTATTACTAGTTACTGTATTGGTATGTACTATAGGACTTAAACGTAAACATGCTCTCCTCATGTGATATGAATTATTTTTCTTTCTACCGCAAAGCATGTTTTGATGGGTATTTATTACTAGTGGTAGGACCTCTTGTGAGTACGGGGGCCCGTTTTTATGAGTGGAAACCAGAATTTAATAGAATTAGAGAAGTGGTATGTTCTTTCAATAAGAAATGACTAATAAGTAATAACACTACAGCTACAGAATTACATAGGTATGTACCGTAAAATGGGGCGATTAGGGACAAATTCCAACTTTATGAGCAATTTTAAGGTAGTTGTTGATGTATATAATGCTATATCAGGATCAAAATGATTGAGTCTTGGGGGCATCTTTGTTGTCTAATTTAAAATTATGCAACTAGCATTCCAGTTTAAGCAAAAAATGCAAAAATAGGTGTAATCCCTATTTACCCGAAAATTGCGGTTAATTGGGACGAAATGAGAAATTTGCTAGGGTTGGCACTACTTTTATTTTTATATATAGTTTTAATTTATTTATTTATTTAGTTGCACCAACAAAGTGATCATCAATAAAAAAAATTGAAAAACTGACAAAAGTACATGGCAGACATCACCTCAATTATAGGTGCAATCGACAGTGCTGATATTTCTATCTGGGTTAAGAGATTAGGTGTGTCGGTTATTCCATGGATTAATCAGATGAATACCCCCACTCTGAACAAATATTAAATATTTTATTATGTATTACTTAGACATTTTTGTCCACCTTGAGATTTCATTGATCTTGTTACATGTCTCTGCAAAATCGACTTACTTATATTAAATTGCTTATCTATTTCAACTAAAGACTTATTCCCAATTTCGCTTCGAATAAACCAGATTTTTACCAACAAATTTAAAAAATATTGTTATAACTACATAGACAACCCTACAAACCTGTACCTATTTATACTTAGGTCGTTTCCATTTCACGTATTCTCATCCCAATTGACCCCTTTTTCGTTGTTATTTGTACCTAAGACGTCCCCAATATCCCCAAAAACAACAGATTTTTACATGTATTTTTATTTAATCAAATACATTAAAACCAATAACAACTGAGACTTACCTTTAATATATATGCTGGTTCAAACACTAAATAACGTTTATAAATCATAGTCGTCTTCTATTATTATCAAATAAATAAAAGAGAGCAAAGTTTCTAGCACTAAAATAATTACCACCACAGGAAGTTAATTTGAAACGCGATTTTTTATAAGTTAGCAGCTATTATCATGCATATTCAGAGTTGTTTTGTGAACTTTCAACATTCTACTATTAAACTACAAAAAATGGAAGATTTTGCAACGAATATAAAACTTATATTGAGCGTCGAAAGATTTTCCCGGTTTTTTCCCGATTCGCCTGTCAATCCCTAATCGCCCCATTTTACCGGTATCGAATATGAATTATCGCAAATTATAGGTACGAAGTTTTAGTTAAGTGCGCGTCAACGACCTCGATCTGTCAAAGCTATATTAAGTGTATAATCTATGGTCAAAGCTGAATAAAAAAGTATGGACAGCAACAAAAATCTTTTTTTCTTTTTTCAACAAATCGATTTCGAGGCATGCAGAGCTTTACGAGTAGATGAAACAAAACAAACCACCAAAGTTCTGCCACCCTATATTTGCACAGAATACACTTAATATTTAAGCCACATTTGTGACAATTTTGACTTAAATCTTATAGAGCACCTAAATATGGCAGTTAATAAAATGTAGAGTGGCAGACAAAAATATGTGTCAACTATAAACCGAAACCGAAAAATTAACCGCCGAAGCCATAGCTATAATCACAAAAGATAACTGGCAGAGGAAGATCAACCATGTCAAGCATCTAAAAAATGAATACCGGCAACGAGACTTAAGAGAAGACGATGATAATTTTAATTTGGTTACAAATACAGGTAATACAAATATATATTTTTTCTTCCATACCTACTTAAAATTAATCAATGGCATATTTTAATGACCTAAATATTTGGAGATTTGGATTAAAAAAAAGTGTGTGTGTCCGCTCCGACGCACGACTGGAGTTTACTCCTCAAGAACGATTATAAAATAAATAAATAGATAAGGGAATACGGGTATAAATGAATGCATTTTTGATGATACTTAGATTATGCACGGTAGATTTTTATTCTATTAATTATACATTTGATAAATTGCATTTCATAAATAATTTATTAACTGTTAATAAATACTTATTAAATTCTTTGACGTTAAAAAATCTGTGGCATCATCCTGCCACGGCTACCTGAGTGCGGACCTGCGCGCAAGAATCAGGTGATGCGTGCGCGCGCCAATCAGGAGCCAATCAGGTGATGCGTGCGCGCGCCAATCAGGAGCCAATCAGGCGCATAACGCATTTCGTGTGACATGCTATACTCTCTAGTACGATTTTGGTCCCCATAATTTTCATACCCCGGGCCTATATATGTAAATCGATTCTTAAGGAGTAAACTCCAAAAATAAATAATAATTTAAAATACCTATGACTTACATACTGACTTTACCTTTTATTTTTCGATTTGACAGCTATGACGTCACAATATGGCGCAAGTCCAGTTAACATTTACTCTATCGAGAACGTTTAAAAACTCGCAAGTCATATCAAGAGCAGTGCTTTGCAAAATCTACTACGGGATCGGGATCGCAACCCACTAAAAAGATCCATATACATAGCCATTTGAACCACGCATTTCACTTTTGAAAATCTCTTTCCGACTCTAAAACTTATTCCACGACTATTCTGCCTACTATGAAATAAAAATCAATCCTACATATTAAGCGTACTAACTATGATAGGCAGTCATTAGCAATACTTCACATTTCTTTTAAATAATACTTATTTCAGAAAAAATAAAAAATATCTTCTTACTATATGTAATGTACATATCCTACTGAATCGTTTTTTTTTAATTATTGAACTCAATAATTATTAAGCCACTCTTATCAATGTTTAACTCAAGTGTCGTTGATAGGATAAAGCGACACATCTCTACATTCCCGCCAACGAGTTCAACGACATAAGCGGGATTTATACATGAGGCAAGCAAAGGAAATGTAGCCTAGACACCTAAATCTTGTAACAAAACCAAACTGGTGAACCAAAAAAAG